CCCCAAAACCCCAAAACCCCGCAACTCTATTAAATATAAATTCATTAATAAGAATTTGTTAATTTTTAATTTTTATAGTAATTGATTTAGAATTACTTACAATTTCAAACTTTTTAATTCAATTTGAATACATTAAACCCGATAATTAATTCTCATTTGATAATTTTCTTTCCATTATTATTCAGATGGTTAATCCCTTGTTAATTTCCAGAATTACCCATCATTTGATTAGGCTTTGTAAATTAGCCAAAGCTTTAAGGAGCTATTAAGCCTGTAATCCCTTAACCTTAGGCAAGTAGTGAGTTTGTTAACTAGACTTTTTTCTGCATTAGATTATTACTGTAAGACCGACCAAGATACTTTTGATTACTCTGCTATAGCTGCTAATTTAAACTCAATTGATTTTGGTTATTTATGCTTTGATTCAATTGGCTATTGTTATTTTAATGATTTTATTGCTACTGTAAATTTTATTATGGAAAACTTTGAGGCTGTTTAATCGGTGCTGCGTATACTACGCCCAGTTGACTATTCTAAGCATAAGAACCTGATGGTATCATCAATGAGCATTTTTATGCACTTATCCTGCTAGAATCAAGGTTTAATCTAACATCTTCTCTACGTTTTGTGATACTGAAATTTTCATTAGTTCTCCTAAGCGAGGATCGAAGAACTTCGGAAGGAGTCAGCTTATGATGAGAGCTATCATAACTATACTCAAGCAAACGCTTGGCACTATCCATCTACTAATTAGAAGGTATGAATATATTCTTAGGTAGACCTGTTATTATTTGCCTAGTACTGCTTGGAGTTTTTTATTGCTAGTTTTGCTACGATTATGTTAACTATTATGATAATGACTAGGTTTGTTGTATATTTTATGAGGTTTAATTAGTTATTTTATTTTGTGTTACTGGAATAATGTTTCTGGATATTTACTATTCTTATCTGGTTTAAGTCTGACTTCTTTGCTGTTTCTCCTCTATTTGTTTCGTTTACTATAAAACTTTTTGTGGAATTTAGATCTGGTGATTAGAATGTGGGGTTGCAAATTATTACTAATGATTACTAGGTTTTTGCTGTTAAACTTGCTATTTTTATTACTATTGCTATTATTACTACTGCTAAAGCTATTACGTTTGAATTTATTGGTTTTGTGCTTTTAAAAGCTAGTTTTATTCTATTTTCTTTCTCATTTCCTATATATTTTTATTTAAGGTTAGCATTTAATCTTACCAGGATCTTAGGATTTATAACGGGCTGCTCTTCTTATAATTATTGAATATTATCATGACAACCAGCAGGATTTATAGGAGTATCTTTGAAAAACGATGTGACATTTCTTGCTTTTTAAACGCTTTGTAGCTCTGAATAAGCCTTATCTGGCTTCTCATAATAATTTGCTGAACCAGCTGGTCTTCCTCTCTTCTTTTTCGAGTCAATATTAATGAGCTTTTAAAATGACATTATCTATCTAGATCTAAGTGCATTCGATTCATCTTGATTAACAAATTCTACGTTTGCCACATCATTCTCATTAAGTTCAGTATAGCAGGCTCTCTTAGAGTCGTTTTAATAGATTCTACAGCCTTCATTAAATAACCAGGATTTCCCAAGCCAAGTCTCTTCACCAAAATTTTCTAGTCTGTCTTTTTTCATGTCAATTCTAATATCTTCTTCCTTTATACAGTCATAAATATCTTTAGACTTCGAATCATTTAATGTCATTTATTTGAATACATACTGCTACTCATATCGATTTTATTTTATTAACTTTTGGACTACCTGCTTGTTTTTCTTTACTTGATCCTCATAGCCTTTAAACCAACGTTCAGAGAACAGTAGTTTCTTATGTCGTTTTAAAGCGATTAGAAATTCATGTTAGCAAGGAAGACCAGTATTAAATCTTTCAAAGCATGTGCAAAAGGCAAACTCATCAAATACCTTAATCTTTTAAAGCTTTCTATCATTAGCCTCTAAATTTTCTTTATTTTAATTTGGATTAACATGATTTACTATGAATAGTTAGCACCGCTTATTAAAGCCTTTATCTTCCTTTATTATTCTCAAATATTTAAGACCTTGACCAATAGAATATTTGCATCTTTCATAGGCATTTAAGGATAAATTTTTTAGTATATATTCACTCAGAATCGGCTCTCTGTCTATGATCTAAGACTTAGTTATTCTGAATTCCTCATATGTTATTCTTTCAATTTCTTGATTTTTATCTTCTTTATCATGATTTGCCCCCAACTGCTTATAAACATTGTTTTAGGTAGAAAGTAACTACTTTTATTGAGCATTATGAATTCTATCAATCCAGCTGAAGTCAATAATCAGATTTATAGTCTTTTCAAGGTTAGACTCTCTTTTCAACAAATGCTTTGATAGCCAGAGTTTCATAAACTCAACTCTTTAATAGACATTAGTGCCTGCTGTAAATTCTTTTATTGTCAAATATTTGCACCAATACTTTCGTTCTTGATTAAGTTTATTCACGATTATATTGATCTCAGCACATTCGTTCTTAATAGTCTCAGACAGCTTCATGCATTCTAGAATTTCCTTTTCGACAAGGTTTTGATTTTCGAGTTTAGGTAACTTCTCAACTCTTAACAAGATATTTCTGATAGATTCATTAAATGGTTTGTTATAAGTCATATTTCTTATTTGGAATTTTAGAGACTTGTATAGATGCTGGTAACAATAAAGCAATTTGATGGAGGATTGCTTCAAAATAGGCTCAATTGCATTCTTCATCATAGACTACCTTTCAATTATGATAACTTGAGGTTCTTTACTTTCAATTGAATTCAAGAAACTTTGAACTGCAAATTGGTAGCTTTCTATATCATCTTCCTTGATAAGCGCTACTCCAAATATCAGGGTCTTTCCTTCGAAATTGACTCCAGAGAACAGAATAATATTCCTTTTGAAGCGAGTTTTACAGAGTCTTTTGTTTATGAATACAAAATCCTAGTAGAATTCGTAATTTTGCTTCATTTCTTTAGTTTGGTAATACAAATTTATAATCCTTGCCTAGCATTCAGGATGCCTAGTTGTATTATAATCTAAAGAGTTCGGATCAGCAGTTTTTAACTCAACAAGTTTTTCGACAAGTACTCTGAAATCTTAAACTTTCCTTTGCTTGCCATTATTTTCTTCGGTCTTGCTCTATGATTTCATTCTTTTTTTCCTTTTTGAGTTCATATCTACTTATGAGGTATATTTACCGTCTAGGAAAGTTCCTTTTCTTGTTGGTATCATTTAGCCACTTGCTTTTTATTATAGCAGAGAGTTCATGCTTGACATCTTCTCAAGGATTGTTCTATAGATCTAATAATATTTCTTAGTCAGGTTTTAATCTGGATTCTCCTTATGACCAATAATTTCAAGTCCTTGGCTTAGATTCTGATCAACTGCACTAATATCAGTCATTTCATTTTGAGTTTAGTCTTACTATACTTATCTGGCTGAAAATAGTGCTTCATTTGAGAAACTGTAGAAAAATGGGTGGGAGTGGTACATTTTATGCTTATCAAATATTTCATAAAGCATCCAGATGTTATTCTGAGGTATATATCTAAATGTAAGCCCAAAGAAACACGATTCTTCTTTGAGTCCACTTTCATTTTCAATCATTTCAATATCCTCCCTGGTATATTTACTATTGTGATGAGAGCAGTAAAGCCTCAGAGTCTTTGAGCTATCTTTATTAATTTTTGCAGGCCTCTTCACTTTTAGGCTAAAGCCAAGGGAATTAGCCCACTCTTTATTCACTACTTGAACGAGATCAAATTATTGATCTATCTGATGAGTCAAAATTATACATTCTAGATGCTTGTAATCCATTTCCTTAAGAAAGTATCGAATCGTTTATTGACCCTTTATTTCCAATGGATTGTTGTTATCAATTGGCTCATATGCACCTAGCTATGACTATGTAATTACCAATGTATTTTGCTGATTTTTCCTGTAAAATCTATTTCTGTTTTAAAAATTCTATAAGAGTATTATTAGATGTATTATTTCTACATTGTTATTAGTCTAGCCATAGACATATAGGACATCATCTGCCATCAAAACAGCGTTTCTTTCTATAAATCCTCCGTTTGATAATCTTAGTAGAAAATCTTCTGCATTATTTAGCCCTTCTTTAAAGCACTCATAGACTTTTTACTTTGTATCCTCAAATCATCCAAACTAGTCAACTAAAGATAGTATTTGATTAAGTAGTTATATACCTTAAATTTACTGTGATTTTCCGTTGAAAACAACATTTATAGTTATCAAACTTTATAAGATATTTTCTTTATGATCCTCCATAGGTCACCCTAGATACGTAATAATTATGGTTTTGATAATGAATCTTTAATATACAAGTGTGTTTATTTTTCTTTGTAAATTTCAAAAAGCTCAAATAATTTGCTATTTGCACCAAGCGGGGTTTTGAATTATTTTCATGGGGTTTTGGGGTTTTGGGGTTT